TCCCCATCTATTTTCCTGTAGGGTAAGATAGATTTCTATACCCCATTGCCTGTGTATCTTAATTTCCCAGTTGCATATAGAAACAATTTTTAACATTTATTTTTAAAACTTTGAGTTCCAAATTCTCTCCCTCTCTCACTCCCCACTCATCCTCATTGAAAAGACAAGCAATTCGATATAGGTTAAACATGTGGAGTCATGCAAAACACTTCCATAATAATCATGTTGTGAAAGACTAACTGTATTTCCCTCCATCCTATCCTACCCCCTGTTTATTTTATTCTCTCCTTTGACCCTGTCCCTCCTCAAAAATGTTTGCTTCTGATTACCCCCTCCTCCAATCTGCTCTCCCTTCTATCATCCCCCCCTTATTATTCCCTTCCCCCTTATTTTTTCCTGTAGGGTAAGATTAATTTCCATACCCAATTGAGTGTATATGTTATTCCCTCCTTAAGCCAAATCTGATGTATCTCCCATTTCTAATGTGCTTTTACAATAATAATAATAATAATAATAATAATGACTTTTAAAAAATAATCAGGGTCAGCTGGGTAGCTCAGTGGATAGTACAGTGGCCCTGGAGTCAGGAGAATCAGAGTTCAGATCTGGCCTCAGACACTTACTAGCTATGTGACCCTGGGCAAGTCACTTAGCCTTTATTGCCTCAAAAAAAAAATCCTTATTTATTTTTTTTCTTTTCCTACAATATTCCTATACTATATATAGTAGCATTTTTTGCCTCATTTTACAGATGAGGACACTGAGGCAGTGTTCATTCCTATGGTCCCTTAGCTAGTTAGTGTCTGTTAGGATTTGAACCCAGGTTTTTCTACTCTAAATTTAGTGTTCTTGCTACTACACCATGAACAGGCCTGGTCAATAGGAGAGCCTGGGGCATCTGGTGCCTGTAGTTTGCCTTCCAACAGAAACCTCACCAAGTCCTGGGCCTTGTGTTTCTTGCAGAAAGACCTGAGCTACCTGCACCAGTGGCTGGAAGCATTCGTCACCAGCTTTGAGAAGGTCATTGCAGTGCATTCTCTGGAGCCTCGAAGGTGAAGGGAAGGGGGATTCAAGGGGAATAAGGGGCCCAGGGCATGGACCCATCCCTGCACCAATCCCCAATCCAAGTTCCACCTAAGTGTGGCTGGGAGTGATTGGATAGAATGACGAACTGTGGGAGATTCCCACAAATATATGGAAGCAGTATAAACACAAACACATAAAAACGTGTTCTCCTCAGCTTGACATTCCTGACCTTTCCCACCCCACCATGTTCTCTGCCATTCTACCCATCCTTGGCTTTCCTCCCTTGGAGTTTTGTTTTCTCTCTACCTTCCAAGTCAACAGCTACTTTGTATTAAGGAGAAAAGACTAGAGAACCTTCTACCCTTTTAGGCATCTAAGTGATATAGTGTTTAGAGTGCTGAGCCTGGAGTCAGGAAGACCTAACTTCAAATCCAGCCTCAGACACTTACTAGATGGGTAACCCTAGTAGGCAAGTCACTTAATCTCTATTAGCCACAATTAACTCTACTGTAAAAAAAATGGGGATAATAACAGCACCTACCATCCAGGTTTGCTGTGAGGATCAAATGAGGTAAAAGGGCATAGTATAGTACCTGGCACATAGTAAGCACTATAGAAATGCTGGGTTTTATTTAGTGTTATTATTGTTATTAGTATCATTATTGCTCCACATCCTCTCAGGGCCTTTCCTCAGCTCCTGTGCCCCTGGGAAGTGGCTCTAATGGAGAGACTAACCAGCTGGGGTGGAGAGGAGGGTGACTTCAGGGTGGGGCAGGTGGGTTTGCCTTTGTTAGTAGACACCACGGGGATGGAGATTGGAAGGAGACAACCAAGTTCTCTGTCAATGATCCCTTTTTTCCACCCCAGGCCAGAAGAGGCTACATCAGAGATTCCCCGCCTGCCCCAGAACGTGCTGCAGGTCCTGGGGCAGCAGCTGGGGCTATGTGCCGAGTGCCTGGGGGAGGCCAAGCTGACCCAAGCCCTGCTTCTCCTCAAGTTCTTCATCATTATCTGCAGGTAGGTACACCTGGGTGTTGGGATAGAGGAAGAGAGATATGCCAGGGCAGGAGACATAGTTTTCCTCTCTTTAAAATAGAGATGTTTGTCTGATTAAACTAGATGGTCTCAAGAACCATTTCAGGCCCTAACTTTCTATGCCATGTAGTTCTGGCGTTCTTTGAAGTTTCATATGTCTACTGTTTGACAGTGGCTGAGCCATTCCTCAAACTGAGCCTTGGTTTCCTTATCTAAAGTGGGAGAAGAGGTTGGATGTGATGATCTCTAAGGTTTTTTCCAGCTCAAACATTTTGAGATTCTGGGGTAGAAAGGTCGCCTCTTCGGTTTTTTCTTTTCTGTTCCTTGAGTTGGGGGCTCATCTTCTCTCTTCACCCTTAGTGTTGGCTGTTTCTTGCATCAGAACCTTTCCTTCCAAGTATCTTGGGATCCTTCCAGTACAATTCAGTTCAATAAACATTTATAAGCAGAACCTGTTGCGTGGGTATGTATGTGTGTCTGCCTGCACCTATGGAAGACACACGCGTGCCCACAAAACAACATTGCATAGAACATGCTTAATACAACGTAGACCCCAAGCAGAGCCCAGCCTGGGTGCTAACAGCCAAGCCTGCGAAGGTGGGGCCATGGATCCTACAAAGGTCTTCGGTGAGACAGAGTGGGATCAAGGATGGGGAACAAAATGAGATTCTCCATCATGCCTGAGAACTGGTGAGAAGGCGACGGTTAGGACAGTTCCCATTTGTCTAGCACGTTATAGTTTACCAAGCACTTTCTTGAGTTAGTCAGCAAGTATTTATTAAGTTCTTCTTCTGTTCTAGGCACTGTACTAAGCTCTGGGAATGCAAAGAAAGACAAAACAACCCATGTTGCTGGACTGTTGAATTGTTGAGTGCATGTAGGGAGTAAAGTGTAGAAAGACTGGTAAGATAGGAAGGACCCAGGTTATGAAAACCTCTGAATGCCAGGGGACTTTATATTTGATTCTGGAGGTAACAGGGACACCCCTGGAACTCAGGGAGCAGGTAGAAAGGGGAACGTAGTCTGATCTATATTTAGAAACATCACCTTGATGGTTGAGTGAATGGAGGCTGGATTGAAGAAGAGATACTTGAGGGAGGGAGGCCTGCCAGAGTCCAGGGGCAGAGATGCTGAGAGCCCGAGTTGGTGTTGTGGCTGCATCTGCAGAGAAAAGAGGATGTGTGCTAGACGTGTTGTAAAAGTGGAGAGGTGACAAGATTTGGCAACAGTTTGGATATCCTGTTTAAAGTCAGCCTTATAAGGACTGTCGTCCCTGCTCTCTGGAGGAGAAAACTGAGGTCCAGACATGAAGTGGTTTGCCTTAGGTCACACAGCTAGCCAGTGTCATAACTCGAATGTGAACCAGGTCTCCTGACTCCCAATTCAGGGGTTGTTCCATTGTTCCACACGGCTTCTCAGGGTCGAAGCAGACTGAAGCCCTTCTTGCATTCTTGTCCTTGGTACACCAAGCAGACCAAGGCCTGGGATGTGCTTGGCTCTCTGTGTCTGTCCCCTTCACCTCCTACCTCTCCCCACAAGTGGCTCCTAACAACCCACATTAGGAGATGAGGTGAGGGAAGAGGACCGCCCCGGGTAGAATAAGGGGGAGATGCCTTTCTCTTTCCTCTCCACTTCTGCCTGTACCTCGCCTCTTCTCTTTTCCCTTATGCCTGTCTGCCCCGTCACTCTGGAAGATGAGAGGGACTCTATACAGAGGCTACCAGAGGGACTGTGTATGTCTTTGTGTCCCTCTGTGTCTGTTTATGTGTGTTAGGGCCAAGCTGGTTTTGTGCCATCATCATCTCATGTCCATTTGTTTCTCTGTTCCTTTTGTGTGTACGTGCGTTTCTGTGTTCAGATTGTTCTTCGTACCTGTGTGTAGAAGTCCCGGTGGGTCTTTCTGTTGTGTTGTCATCGTGGACCCAACCACATACTCATTTTCAGGGGCTGGACATCCCTGTGTCAGTGTGTGTACTTAAATCCTGGGAGAGCACTCAGGATGCTCCTAGGCCTCCCCTTGGATTTCTGATCATCTCCCCTTTCCTCCGTCCTTGCAGGAATCTAGAGAACGTCCAGGCAGAAAACACTCCCATCTTCATTCCCCCGGTGATGATGATGCTGGGGGCCTGCAGCACAGAGGTGAGGCCCTCTGGGGAGGGGTTGGGACCGGGAGCAGGGAGGGCCCTTCCCCATGCTGTGGGACTTCAGATGATCAGCTCCTGCCACCTCTTTCTAGGTGTCTTCTCTCTAGTGGCCTGGTGTTAATTAAGGGGAGCAGGGAGTCCTTGAGACTGGACCTTTTCCAAACCTAGAGCCCTCTCTATTCAGGAGGGCAAACACAGCTGAAGGGACCACTCAGGGTATCATAGATGCTTGGTTGTGAGTGTGTGCCTTTAAGATGTATATGGGGGGGCAGCTAGGTGGTGCAGCAGATAGAGCACCTGCCATGAAGTCAGGAGGACCTGAGTTCAAGTTTGACCTCAGACACTTGCCAGTTGAGTGACCCTAGGCAAGTCACTTAACCTCAATTTTCTTGAAAAAAAAAATGTGTATGTGCTTGAGTGTTGGTAGTTGTGGTTATAAATCGTTAAATATCTGCATTGGTAGAGAGTTTCCTCTCTCTGGAAGTTCCTCATACCAATGAAATCACAGATCTTGTCCCAAAAAATATGCCATTGCGTGGTTATAGATGTTGTGCATGTGTGTCTATGAAAGTTCCTAAATGTGCTGGGGCCTGAAAACCGGGCTAGTGATGGTAGAATGATCCCTGTGCTCAGCCCAGCGCGGAGCTGTGCAGAGGGACAGTGGGAGCTCCCAGTCCGTTTGTGAAGACCAGACTTACAGAGAGTACAACACCGCAGGGCTGCTTGGTGACCTTGCCTGGTTCAGTTCAGTGGGGCTCTGCTGCTCTCCGGACTTTCTAATCCTCCCTTCCCTCTCTCTTCCATTTCCAGCTAAAGAGAGGTGCCCCAGCCCCTGACAGACCCTGCAAGTCTCAGCTGGAAAGTGTGGCCCTTCATGCCCTCCATCTTCTGGAGTGCCTTTTCGATCCCTATCAGACCTGGAGACGGCAGCTGAGTGGGTGAGACTGACTGGGCGGGGTGGGAAGACCATGGAGGGACTCACAGTGTATATGTGGGGTGGGGGTGGTAGGGCCAAGGAACTGTGATTATGGCAATGAGAAAGAGAAAAAAAAAACCCAAACCCTCCCAATCCCATCCTGTGCCCAGCACTGTGCTGGGCCCTTGGGGGGCAGTGGGGTGGAAGGTTGGTGAGATAGAAGGAGAACCCAATGTCCTAGTCCCCAGCTCTGCCTGGGGACACCAGACAGGTAGAGAAAAACCAATGATAACTGGGCACTGCCTAAAGAGGGACTGGAATCACCCACCAAGTACTAAAAGGACTCAGAGAAGGGAGGGTCATTGTGGCCCGAGTCAGACGGGGGAGGCCCTTTCTCTGGAGGAAGGGGTGGGATTTGACTAAGGCCTTAAGCTACGTGAGGACGGGGACCGTGCCTTACCATATTTAGAGGATATTCTTGGTCAGGTGTGTGGGGTGAACTGGAGGGCCTCTGAGGTTCTTTCCCATTCTGAGATTCTGTGATCTGTTCATTCATAGGCTCTAGAACAAGGAAGGACCTTAGGGGACCTCTAATCTAACCCCCTTATTTTATACACGGGCCCAGAGTGGTTACTGTGACTTACTCCAGGTCAAGTAGATATTAAGCGTCATCCATTCAATTGTTAAAGCAAAACAAAACATTTATTAGGCACCTGCTATGTACCAAACATTGCTCAGCACTGGGGGAAGCACAAAGTTTAACTACGACGCAGTCTCTGCCCCCATGAAGATCATAATATAATGAGGGAATAAGACACAAACAACATGGATAACCATCACGTGCAACATACAGGATAAGTTAGTTAATATTGAGAGAACAGCAAAGCATTATTTGAGGTCTGAAGGGGAATGCTACGATAGGCTGGGGAGTGATTGAGCAAGCTTCCTGGAGAAAGGTGTCTTCTGAGATAGGCTTTAGAATCTCTCTAGAAACATGGCTGGTGAAAGTGGGGAGGGAAGACGTTTCGGACACAGAACAGCCTGAGCAAGAAAGCACAGAGGTTGCACGTTTGGGAGAAAGCTTAGTTTGGCTGGAGTATAGGGTATATGGATTGAACTTTAGCTTTGCCCGGGAGCACACAGAGGCTGCTGTAGATGTTTGAGCAAATTCCAAGAAGATTCCACCAAGCCGACTTGAGATCAAGTGGGTTAGACTGGCGGTGGTTTAGTTTAGTTTGTGAGAGGAAGAAGGCATAGGATACTGTTGCAATCGTCTTGTAGGGGCAGGAAGGAAGCCCTTGGTAACTACCCTAGAGCTAAGACAGTGCTGTGCACACAGTAAGCACTTAATAGGTGTTTATTAGATGACTTGCTGACTTACTGACTCGTTGGATGAATGATTTGGACCTTAAAGGAAGGCCTTCTAGGCCAGTGGAATGGTGTCAGCCAAGGTCTGATGTGGAGAATAAGCATGGTGTGGTCAGTGAGCAATGAGGCAAGGTGTTCGCCAATTTAGTGAATGTAGAATATACGCATAGAGGAGTTACTGGAAGCCTTGAATCCCGGGGTGAGGAGTTTTTACTTCCAGGGTTTGGCCTTGGGGAGTTAGCGATTATGAGTAAGGATAGGATATGTAGAATTTATGCCTTTGTCAGGGCTTTTCTCCTCTCTCTTTTTTTGAGGGTAGGAGTAGAGGTGTGATAAATATTTATTGTAAAGTGAGACATTAAGCTGTGCTCCCCCTTCAAATTTCAGGGGATCTCCTGGAGGAGGCAGTTTTTTAGGGGTATTTTCCAAGGAGGGATAATCACTGGCCCTTGGAAGACAATCTGGTTGAAGGACCTGCCTGGGCAATTATTTCTGTGACCCTACTGAGTGGTGGTGGGGTGCAGATATTTGAGGATAGACCAAAGGTATAGTGAATCAGGGGTGATGGGCAGGCAGACAGTGTTCTGAGGAGCCCTCAGCACCTTATCTACACCCTCAGCCCCTTCCCTGCCCTCTCCCCTTCTCCCAACTCCCAGCCTCAGGGGCTTCTTCCTTCCTCCCTTCCTTTAGGGAAGTCGTGAGCCCCAAGGAGAAAAGCAAGTACAAGTTTGCTCCAGCAGCTCTGCCAAAGGACTTCAGCACTTTCTTTCAAGGTGAGTCCAATGCTTTTTTCCTGTTCTCCTCCGCTGAGGAGAAGGCATCTAGTGGTGCAGTAGATAGAACTCTTAAGTCCAGAGTCAGGAAAACCTGAGTTCAAATCTGGCCTAAATCACTTCTTAGCTGTGACCTTGGGCAAGTCACTTAACCTCTCTGTCTCAATTTCCTTAACAGTAAAATGGTAATAACAGTAGTAACCTACTTCCCAGGGTTGTTGTGAAGATCAAATGCGGTAATATTTGTAAAGTGCTTAGCACAGTGGCGCTACACATGTATTATTATACAATTTTATGCATAATGGTCCCTTAATAAATGCTTGTTCCATTCTCCTTCTGCCTTCTATTTATCCTTTCAGTTACTTATTTAGTCAGTCATTCAGCAGTCACTTATTCATTTAATAAGGTCATGGGGCTTTCAAACTGGAATGGACTCGAGACCCCTGAGTCTAACCCCCTTATTTTACAGAGGAGGAAACTAAGACCCAGAAACTCAGGCACTCTGTGTGTGTGTGTGTGTGTGTGTGTGTGTGTGTGTGTGTGTGTGTGTGTGAAAATGTTATCTCATTCAATCTGCACAACAGCTCTGGGAGGTAGGTACTATTATTATCGCACTTTACATTTGAGGAAACTGAGACAGAGGTTAAGTGACTTGCCCAAGGTGACACAGCTAGTTAGGAAGGGGAAGTGATTTGCCAAGGGATTTCCTATAGGTAGGAAGTAGCAGAGTCAGGATTTGAACTCGAGTCCCCTGACTCCAAATCTGGTACCTTTGCCCCTTACAATACTCTGATCATACAATCATTTTAAAGTAATCTGTAGGAATCATTGCATTGATAATGAAAATGTTTTACATGATTGTACATGTATAACATATCTGATTGCTTATCATCTCTGGGAGGGAGAAGGGAAGGAGGGAGGGAGGGAGGGATAGAATTTGGAACTCAAAACTTTTTTAAAAAAAGTCAAAATGTTTAAAAATTGTTTTAACATGTAATGGGGGGAATAAAATGTGTGTGTATGTAAGTTGCATTAATAGCTGAACTTTCTATGGCATTGGGAGCTTTACAGTGTGCTTTTCCTCCTGTCCTCCCTGTGAGACAGGAAATTCAAGTGTGATATTCCCCATTTTGCCAATGAGGAAGCTGGCAAAGGGGAAGTTACATGTCCGTGGTCAAGTCATGGCAGATAAAAGCCAGAACTGTCTTTGGAACCCGGGTCATAGAATTATAGAATCTCAGACGTGGAAGGGCACACAGAGGTCACTGTCCTCACACTTTATAAAATGCTTCAAGTGCTTTACAAAGGGCTTTCCTCCCAACAACTGTGTGAGCTAGTTAGTGTGAGCAGTATTAGCCCCATTTTACAGGTGAGGAAATTGAGACCTAGAGAGGGGAAATGACTGGAGATCTTTCATTCCAACTTCTACCTGAGTCAGTAAATCAACAAGCATCTGTTAAATGCCTACTATGAGCCAGGTGCTGGTCATATGAAAGGAGTACTGAAACAGTTGCTGCCCTCAGAGAGATTATACTCAGTTGGGGGAGACAACATGTTCACATAGAAGTCCATGCAAAATAAATACAAGATTTGGGAGACAGGGAGAGGCAACTGGGGGATCAGAAAAGGGTAAACATAGAAAGTGGTATTTAGCTTGAGTTTTGAAGGAAATCTAGGATTCTGCGAGGTGGAGGGGAAGAGTGAGTATCTTCTAGGCATGAGGGACAGCCAGTGCAAAGGCATGGAGATGGGAGATGAGTATCGTGTGTAAAGAATAGCAAGAAGGCTAGTCATTTTGACTTGAGCACAGAGTGCATAAAGGGAAGTAATATATAATAAGGCCAGAGAGTTTGGGAATGGCTTGTGAAAGGCTTTAAATGCCAAATAGGGGAGTTAATATCTGATCCTAGAGGCCAGAGGGGGCCACTAGTGTATTGGGGGAGGGCAGCACGGTCAGACCTATCCGTCAGGAAAATTGCATTGACAGCTGTGTGGAGGATGGATTGGAGCAGGAAGAGGCATGAGGCATGAGACCAGTTAGAAGACTGTTGTAGTAGAGCAGTCCCTGCGAGAGGCAATGAGGCCCTTAACCAGGATGTGGAGAGAAGGGGGCATAGATGAGAGATGTAGCGATAGAAACGATAAAATTTGGCAACAGATTAGCTGGGTGGGATGAGTGCAAATGAGGAATCAAGGACGGCAGTGAGGTTGCAGACCTCGTGATGCCAACAACATCCATGACAAATGGTCATCTGGTCTCCATTTGGAGGCTTCCAGTGACAGTAAACTACTGTCAAGACAGTTTAATTGGCATTTGCAGAGCTCCAAGTGTTTGAAAGTTTTTCCTTATACTCTGATAAAATCTCTGTAACCCTCTCCCTTCCCGCAATGATATTTTTCCTTTTGTTTATCTTCCTGTTAAGTTGTGTTCAGCTCAGAAAGAGAGGAA